AGCTGCCGATCGTCTGCAGTGTGGCCGGTGTGGATCGCATCAGATGGGTATCTTGCAGACTCGCACATTGAAGGTCAGTTAGATTTTAAGACGCTACATGAGGAGGGTATTCAGCAATTGACAAGCTGCAGGCTTGAGGCACTTCAACGTTCTGTTAGATACCCTCATAGCCATACCCTCATAGTCATTAGCATAGTTCGTAGGTGTACGTCAGCTCTGGGCTCCACTGGACAAGAACAGGATGAGTTGGGTCTATCTCATTCAAGCATTTGATCAAGAATACTCGATCAGACTTGATGAACTGTTGGATTTCAAAAACATGTTCCTGGCCAACTATCCTCCTCCAACCATGTTCCTTCCGCTGTGTCGCGGTGATTTTCGCAAACCCATGGATCTCTGAACCCCAAGCAACGCATCGCTTCCACCCAGTGGAGCGGGGAACCCACCGAGTGGACCCAAGCAACGCACCGGCCGAGTGGCCCAAAGAAGGTCACCGAGGCACGGAGAAGTCGCCCGACCGAAGCGCCGAAGTCCCGAGACAACGACCACCGACGAGACCGTGCACCGTCCTTTCCACCTGTTACTAATATCTTCTTGTTACTACTAGTAAGGCACCTGTTACTACTAGTAAGGCACCTGTTTCTAATAGCTTCTTGTTACTAGGAGGTTCTGATGAGCAAGGCCCATTCCAGCTTTGAGTCGGTCCAGAAAACAGGGGAAACATCGGGATGACATGAACACCTGTGGAGTGACATGCAAACTCAAGCGATCTCGGTTTTACAAGTTAGAGTGATCACCCGGTCCAGTCGGTCCAGGAAGCTTCGTTCCCCCACTTGCAGTTCCTCCTCCGTCGCCCCCGCCTTTCCACGGGCTTAACTTCTTGGGTGTTTGACAACATGTTGCATGAGGATGCGGCGTTTGACTCAACACTGTCAAAGTTCGTCCAAGGGAAGCATCTCACACACACCACGGAGAGTTCCAACACATCCCAGATTTTTGTGCGTAAGTCCGATGTTGCATGCGATCAGTGGTCCCTGTGATCCCTCAAAAATGTCGACCTGCATTGCATGTGGTGCATTTGCGGCAGCATCATGGCAGCATGGCGTCCGTTCCTGTCGGCCCATCAGATACTTAAGCCACTTTGCAAGTCAGCCACTCAAGGCAGTCCTGCCAGCATGCCAAAGACATGAAGGTCTCATCAGCACAGTTGCTGCTTGCTTTTCTTTGTGAAGCTTCGAGGATTGCCAAGAAATCTGTAGATAGCCTTGGAGTTCATGGGCGACGTTTTTGGTTGGCCAAACAGCAGGAAGTGCCGGTGAGTTGAGGATGTTGAAGGGCTAGACTGATGGCTTATACATTATATAATAATATAGATGGGTTTAGTCAACAAGTTTTTGCAGCCAAATTTACTCTTTATCAACAATCAACCTTTGCAGCTGTAGATCCATCTGACCACCTCTTTTGCTGCCTGCTGCACCCCGCTGTGCGGGCCGTGGGCGCGCTGATGCTCCTTCAGCCGGTGCGGCCGTGCGCCAAGCGCACATGAGCGTGAAGCCCAAGATGGCCCAGTAGTGAAACATCAGGCAGATGAGATGTCCAGACCAAGCTTGAGTGACTTGGTTGCTGCACCTGGAAACATTAATGTCATATGCAGGTGATTTTGAGAAGATATGTTTTTGTTCTTTGGCATGTAAACGAACACCGTGAACATTTCATGAGATGGGGTTGACCCCTTCCGAACTCTTCACCAGACCACAGGCAAGCTTAGACAGTGCATGCAGAAATACCTAGGCAACTGGCATCTACCAGGACTTACGGAATTGAAGTGCATTCAATGCACATCCCACTCCAAGGCACATGGAGGGAGCTGAGAGACAGGTGCCAAGCCCAGAGAGTCAGCGCTGATGAGAGGACCTCATTGGACCCCACCGTGGGTCGAGAGTGTGCCGAGGGTCGCCGACACATGGGTCGCCGACGCATTCGGGTACGAAAGCTGAAGAGTTGTGGGTCTAATTGACATGAACTAAACATACCATGATTTGTCATGATGATTCATAATGATATCGCCGGTTTCAGGGCCATCACCAAGTTGACTTGGCGAGATTCGAGTTTTCGTGTGCCCACGGGAACGCTCTTTTGGGGTGCAGGAGTACAAAAGATAACCTCAAATCATCTCAAATCACCAAACTGGGACTGGCTCTTCTGCCCTCAAATAAGTTAAAATAAGCTATATCTCAAATTTTTGGTGCAAGCGTAGATGCGTTCGCTGGCTTTCTAAGTCTCACAGGGACTTCCATCGGTTTGCTCCTCTGCCCAGTCCGGGCAGTCCGCGCGTCCTCCGCGCGGACGGCGCCGTGAGTCCGACTCAACTGAGGCTTCTCAAAGCTCTCAGCCATCTCAGGCTGCGACCCGCACGTGTCGCGGAGCCGGTCGCCGAAGATCCAGCCGGCGCAATAGTCGGAGTGAGGTGTTTCTGGGACCGGCTGAGTCTTTTGGGGAACAACTGCAGGTGAACTGGTGATGCTCTTTCTTTTTTCGTTGATTGTGCTGACTGCAGCAGCATGGCTGCCCGTTCTTTTGAAGCACACCCACTTGGCCAACACCCCTAAGACTCTGGAGCTCACCATAGGGAAGCTCTACAGAATTTGGCAAACCCATGACTTGATGAGTCGATGAGTCTGCAGTACAAAAATCACTCGCCATCTTTCGAACTCCCAACACGATTGATCGTGGTACGCGGCGGAGCCGGCGGAGCCACAAAAGGATACAGGGCGGACCCATGGTGAGAGTCGCCCATCTTCAAACTCTAAAAGTTCGACTTTGCAATCTATTAAAAACAAGACAAAAAGGAGGTGCCACGAAACTGGACAGCCCCAAAACTACCAGGTACTTCATTCATTTTCTTTCTTTTAGTTCAACGGTTTCAACAACGGTTCAACCATGTCCAACGATTGATCCGATTTGGCGAGGTGAGCTCCGAACAAGCGAAATGGAAGCAGATGATGGACGAGGGCATCGCGCGGTGTGCCCGGGAACCGGCCTTCAACGGTGCGGAAACAGAACCGAGACGCGTGGCGACGCAGTGGGGTGGGGTGGGATTGAGGGGCGTCAGGTTGTGAGTCAAAGGCCGGGTCTATAGAGCGGCCCCGGCAGCCCTGAGCTTCATGCAACGGATTGGTTGAACCTTCTACGAGTAACCCTGGCACAAACCTTCTGTACTCACATATAATGTAAATCCCCTGGCAATGCTCCTAGTAGCGTCCTTGCTCCTAGTAGCGATGCCAGGAGCACCTAGTAGCGTCCTGGCTCCTAGTAGCGATGCCTTGTTACTATTGCTTCTATAGCAATGTACAAATTGAAGTTCAAGTTGGCCATGCACAGATCCAACCAGAAGATCCAGCCGTTTGACGCTTTTTGTGTGCCTTTTCTTTGTTTCTTTTTAGCTCAGTGAGGCTCAGAAGACACCCTGCCAACATCATGCAAATCATCAACTGACCATCACTTGATCCTCACGTCTCCGAAGCCGAACAGGTACATGCGCGAACATCCGGATCGCTTCCACCGGAGGGTGCGCCGGGGGATCCCCCCCGGAGTTCCGGCATGGGGTGCCCAGATGGAGGAGAGGAGAAGTGAAAAACTGAGGTTGGGTTGCCAACCTATGCCACAACCATATTCTTAGTTAGCATTGGCTACCGTTCAGAATATTCGATTCTCCTGAGTGTTTTTTCATGAAGAAAGAGCACCACGGTTGCACATCAGCCACCAGTTCTCCTGGTCCCTGAAAGCACAAATGATCCAGAATCCCTTTTAGAGTTCTAGGGCCGACCTTATTTATCCTTTCGAGGGCTTCGTGCAGCTTCTAGGTTCCGACCGATCCAATCAAATCAGAACCGCTCGGAAGGCGTTTTTACTTTTCCTTGTTTTCGACCTTCCGATGTGTCGCAGGGGACGTCTGACTACTGAGGTGGAGAGTTTGGAAAGCGGCGGTGAGGTTGGATGATGCCTGGCCTTCTGTTGAGTTGCTACACTCAGACTCCACTGAGAGGGGGAAGGGCCATGCGGCCATACGAAGGGCAGGATGACATTTGCTGGGTTGGCTAGGCCAGGCTCTGTTGGAGCATTTTTGGACGAGGGGCAGATGGAACAAGAACACAAGACTGTCCCAAGAGGATCAACACAAGAAATATGTCGAAGTATAGGAGTTAGTCGGATTCAGCAACAGTTCGGGACGGATCAAACAGGGCATAAGCAAGGAAGGCAGGAAGGAGAGAAAGTTTTTTGGAGCACCTTGCCACTCGCCTGTGGCCGCCTATGGTATGGCCTGTGGGTTGGAAACCCGTCGTGAGTGACATCAGGGCATCGGTGAGATCAGGAAGGACATGAAACCACGAGGTTCTTGGATTTTTGCTCTACACATCTCTACACCCATTTCCCAAGCGCTGGTGACCTCCCAAGCGCTGGTCTTCGGTGACCTCGCCGCTGAGTTACCACAGCCTTTGCGAGAAGGAGACTCAGTGGACTCCGTCCATTGTTATGGCCCGGGGCCTCGGTCGCTGTCGTCTTCGGTGGCCGGTGGCAGAGATGACATGGCGGGGTTGTGCCCCTCATCGAAGGAGGAGAGACCCCAGCTATAGGAGAACCGTTTACTTATGGCGTATTTGATGTATTTTTTCTGGAGGGCCAGGAATGCTGATGGACAAAGTTCTTGGGGTACCTCTTGTAGCTCAACATTGCCATGACAAGAAGCTTTACATAACCACCAAATCCTTGAGCTTTAAAGCTCCACTCCTTTTTCAAAAGGAAGGAAGACCAACTTCTTCGCTTGCGCGAACGGGTCAGTTGACCGGTCCTTGAGGATGTGACGCGGACCTTTCCCGACGTCAAGGCCTTTGATGATGTTCAGCAGCAGCCACCTGGGCAGACAAAATCGAGCGACACAAATGGAGCAGTGTAAAGCGATCGTGGAGACATCGTTTTGGGGGAATCAACATGTTGGATCTCAGCGTTTGTCTCGTCCATTCCAAGAATTAGAAGGACAAAGCCTGCCCCTTTCTGTTTTCTTGGGGGGATTGCCGGTCTCGAGCATCTTCCTCCGTCATGAACGCTCCGAAGACGCAGGGCTTCCTGGGTTTCTGGGTCCCAAGCCCGTTCCCTGAAAAGATGTACAGTTACTTGTTGGTGAGGTTGGTCAGGGTTGGTAGTAGTAAGGGCAAAAGATCAACTGACGGTGACCGCCTTTGATTAAGAGAGTGGTATGGTCAATTCTTCATGCAGATATCAGAATTGGGAGGCACAAAGATCTTAAATAAGATCTTCCCACCGCAGTTCCCACCGCCTCCTAAGGTGACCAACATGACGCATGACCCTTTAGAACAATGATCCACATCTGGTTGTGTGGATCCCCCGCTTAGAAGCATCAGCAACAGGCTCCTGGAGTGACCTTTGCTAAGGCGCCTCAAGCGTGTGCTGAACGCCTATGCCAGCGCGGGTACCGAGGGGCATCATTGGTCAAACGGAATGGCCACAGCAAGAGCGATCATGTATATAACAGGTGAATTAAATTGGCATGGCAGACCTTCTTAGAAAGAAGAGCCAGACGAGGGGTGGTCAAAACTACTGTAGTCCTGGAAAAGAGATGTGTGGTTTAACGCACCTGTTCAGGTAAGGAGCCCAAAAAGTATCCAAAAACAGATCTCATCTTTGGAAGAAATTCACAGGGCCTCGGTCGACTTCACAGCGCCTTGGTCGAAGCACTTCCTTCACCTGGCATGAGGTTGCAACCCAGAGATTGGCTACTGCCAGGCGCTGGAATTTTCGACCCGATGCGGGTCTTATTTCGTGGGGGACATCGGACCAGGTCTTCTTTCCGAGATAAAGATTGGCAGGCTCCGGCCACACATTGGCTCCCTGTGGTTTGGGGGCATGAACTGAAGATGGGCCCTTTTGGCACATCTTTCTGTGTGATTTGCACGGGGCTTCAGAACTTCACAGATGAGTGTGTGAATGTAGATCTCCCACAGCAGGAGGTCAGGAAGATGATCTTCCTTTGACTGGTGGATTTGTGTTCATCTACACTCCCTGGAACAATCATGGAAGTGGAGTTCACAGAATTGCTGAAGGTCATTGAATCGGAAGTTTCTTTGTTTATAAAGACCTGGATTTGACGATACAGCAGAAAAAGATGGATTGCCTGTTCTTCAGAGCTGTTGAACTTTTCAATGCGCAGTCTTTCATCATCCATTTTCCCACATTCATCCAATCCCACCTATATATAAATACACATTCATCTATCCGGTGTCGGTCCGCACATCGACGACGGGAGGGCATGAATTATGTCGCGGGCTTGCTGCTGCTCGTCTCTCACAATGAGGACGTCGCGAAACATGTCATCCACAATCCTGTTTTCGGCGTGGTGCTGGTTGGTAGCTTCTTGGGACTTGTTCGGTTGGTTGGTCGGTAGGCTGGTGGCGGTTGAATATTGCAAGGTCTACAACTTCTGTTTAGGAAGAGGTGCAGGCATTTAGCCAGTTTTGTGATGGTTGTTGCGTTTCTTTTTCTCTTAGATGCCTGGCCTGCCAGTCATCTTGACTAGCTTGGTTTGCTTGGCCTCCAGGAAGAGAGCTTCTTTGTCTTCACCCAGTTGATGGAGCATGAGGCCAACTTTGGGCAGCAAGACCAACTAAGCGAACTAGGTCCTAAATCTTGGAAAGGAAGACAGAGGATTGGGGGGGTCCCATCGAATGTTCATCACACATGGAGTACTGGTAGATCGCTTGATGACGGAAAGCGCAAACTGACACTAGAGTTTACCGAACACACATACATGACTTGTTGGGACGACCCTTATCCAGACTTTTACAGAAGTTGGCCAGATGGCGGTTCATGTAGTCGGCTTTTGGCAATCTTGGTTGGGAACGGGCGAATTGATTTTCTGCTTTGTTTGCTACTGTAAAGGTAACAACTCCTCCAACAGAAGCAATGCCCTTTGCCCCTTTGCCAGATGCTGTTTGCATTTCACTCAGATGACTTGTCAAACATTTTGTGAGTTACAACTGTATTCAACTCACCACGGAGTGGGGAATAGGCTCCATGAGCGGGATTCGTATCACTAGGAGTGACAATGGAGTCCCCAAAGTGGAGGGTCTTCGCATCACTAGGAGCAAACCAAACTGGGTCTTTGCAATGACCCCAGACATAGCTCCCACCGGCGCCCGAACACGCGACCGTCCACGGACGACGGCGACCGACAACGCGACCGTCCACGCGGACAGGACTTCGGCCTCGCGGGCTTCTATGTGGGTAAGTCGGGGCTCTCAACGTGGCACCGGTCTTCAACGTGGCGAGGAGAGAGCCATGGAGAGCCCGGAAGGCAGGAGGTTCGGTGCTCTTCGACCTGGCAGATCAGACTCTTTGTGAGGGTGTTCAGCTCGAAGACGACGCTTTTATAGGAAAGAGGCCCACAGCTAGCCCAAAGTCCCTGTTATTATATTCCTGGTTTGCAATGTTTGATTCAGTCTATCATCTTTGAATCTTTGAAGATCCTTAGAGAAGAATGATCAACTGGGCAAAGTTTTGGTCTTCACCAGCATGTTGATCAAGAGGCGTGACCACCGACATGTGCCTTCCAGAGTCGATTCGACGAAATGAGAGATCTGCGATCCAGTCTCACCTGCCCTATACCACTATACAACCCTATACCACTCTTCCTCAACGACGGACCTCCGGCGCCGCTCCCAGGCTGCCGCTCCTCCGGCGCTACTTGCGTGCCTGCGAGAGCCTAGTGGCTGATACGCTCCCCGAGCTGCCGGGAGCCCCACGGCTTCGCCGCTTCGCGGAGACCGGTGGAGACCGGGGTTTCGCCATGCCCGAGCGGGTTGGTGACTGAAGATCCCCAAACTGAATGAGAAAGGTGCTAAGGTGAGCACATGTTTTAGACAACCAAGTACTTTGGAAAAGCACTAGCGCTTGCGCTGAAACCGCCACGTTCGCCCTCCACCCGAACCTCGGGGTCAGGCGAGAGCACTTCATCAAGCAGAGCGTGCAGCCGGCGGTGTGCGCACGGTTCCGGGGTGCTTTTGACCGGGTCGGTTCCGGGTGTTTTGGGGCGACCCGTGTGAAGCGGCCTTCAGGACCGAAGGACCTGGTCTAAACAAGGACCATGTCAACGGGTGTGATTTTAACAAACTGAAATAAGGAGACCTCCCAGGCAACCCCCCTGGAAGGTTTGGGAGATCGACAGTCTACCCAGCCAGGTCCAGGTGGTCTCCCTATTACACATACAAATATGCGGATGAAGCACCCTTTGGATTTCTGCAGTTTCGGTTGGTTGCATCTTTGGGTGGGGTCCTTCAGCAAAAAGACCCAGAGACATCCAGACACAACGTTATACTCCAAGCATGATACCCTCCATCCCGGGTATTAATCTGGATATGCCTGAAAGAATCAGACCCAAACAAAGGGCCCAATCAGCAGATCTTGGTCTAATTCTTAGGTGAATCAGGAGGGGCAGATGTTTGTGATGTTAGGCTTATCACCTACAAACTTGAGCCATACCATACTGTACCTGTACCCTGCCACGATTGGTGTTCGGCGTTTCGGCCACGTCTGGCAGTCCCTCGCCGTGGCTCCAGCCAGTGGCGATTTGTGCGGCCCAGGGACGTGATTCTCCATGCAGCAAGTAGCTGACCCAAAAGGTCAGTCGCAAGTGGTTTCCGTGTTTTCCCCTTTTCTTTTAGTTCTCAGGGATCTTGGTACTTACTGTGAAGATTGCTCTTGATGAGAAACTTGGGATGTCGGACTTGGGATAGAACCAGGGCAGCCCAGAGCAATTGCCTGGACTGCAGGGTCCCGAACTAACTAACTATTACTAACATCGAACAACCAGTTCTGATAAATGTCAGTTTAGAGTTTAAACATTTAGGGTGAACAATGGCCAGGTTTAGATTGCATCGATGGGTTTCTAGATCTTTTACCTCAAAATATGCGATCCAAACTGAGCCCAAACTCTGAGATTCGCAGATTCGCGATGGACATGAGGCCTGCTGCGTGGAGTCGTTTTTTGGGGTCCCAAAACTTGAAAACTTGCGGTTTTAAGTTCGCGAAGAGAGAGAGAGAGAGAGAGAGAGAGAGAGAAGGGAGGAAACTGTGACAAACCTCATGAAGATGCTTGAACAGCTTGGATCTCCATTGGTCCAGTTGGGGTCAAACAGGTTTGGCATGCTTAACGAGCGTGCGACGTATGTCGACGTTGCATTGACGTCCTTACATCTTGATGTCTCGGCTCTTCGACACGAACTGAGCAAGTCTTGTTGTGTGCTGCCAGCAATGCTTGCACATCTTTTGTGGTGTAAGTCTCAGAGTCTTAGTGTCTTAGTGCATTGATTCTTGCGTTCCTAGCACGCACTGGTGATTCCATGTCCTTGGCAACGTAAGATTAAAAAAACAAACCGGTTGTCCCTTGTTGGCTCAAGTCTTGATTGCATCTCCTATAGGTCCTAGCTGCCATGGACAAATTGCTTCGTAGAGTGAGCATCTCTTCCGAAGATGCCGAAGTGATCACCTATGTCCCAGAATTGCCCGAAGGAGAGGTGCTGGAGATGAGACCGCTTGAGAGGCGCAGATGGATTGGACGGAATGACGCGGCAGAAAGCCGTAGACTGGCCGCAGCGAACGCTGCAAACCTGTCATTGCCATCCTCGTCTAGTCTTTGGCAGCGAAGAGCATCCGCACATCAGAGAAGCCTGCCTGAGCCAATCAATCAACACCTGGGGGCTCCACTTGCGTGATTCCATTTTCGTGGTGCCTGAAGCATTAGAGGAAGCTTCATTTTCGTTGCCACCCAACATTTGAAGCGGCGGAGCTTTGAGAGCCCAATGTTTCATCTTTGACAGCTTGGCACTCTATAGATTTGTGCCCAAGTGTAGGATACGTCTCCATGGCCGCCGATCCCTCCCAGAAAGGGCGGGGTTGGCATAGCAGTCTTTATAAGTGGATCTTCGTAGAGTCCTAGGTGAACCACCGAAAAGGTACCAATTTGGACACATTTGCGACTTGCCTGCATTTTTCTGCACAAATTTGACCTTGACTAGGCTACTGTTTGGCTTAGCAGCAATATCCTTTTCTTGGCTGAACACATTCTCTTTCGTTGTTTCTCTTTTTCGCATGGTCAACGGAATGATGCACTTCTTTATAGATTCGCAGCAAAGCCGCACCAAGTTGTTGAAGCTTTGCTTTTTTGTCAACAAGATCAGTCGCAGTGGTGTCGCTACAGATCCACTGCATGACCTGTTCGACCGGCGCTTTCGAGCTCAAAAAATGCAACCAGTCTAGTCACCACAATCACAAACCCAAAATGCTGGATTTATTCTGAGGAAATGCTTAGCAAGGCTTAGTATGTAGTTGGGATATGCATGCACTGATGAACTGGTGTAATGTGTAATTCAAAAGAGCTCATCTTGTCAACACAAGAGGATACAATCTGGCCCGTCCATGTTGGCTCAAGTTTTATGGACTCTAGCATCTCCTAGGTTCTAGTGTTAGTTGCCATGGACAAATTGCTTCGAAAAGTGAGCATCTCTCCCGAAGATGCCGAAGTGATCACCTATGTCCCAGAATTGCCCGAAGGAGAGGTGCTGGAGATGAGACCGCTTGAGAGGCTCAGATGGATTGGACGGAACGACGCGGCAGAAAGCCGTAGACTGGCCGCAGCGAACGCTGCAAACCTGTCATTTCTGTCTTCCAACCTTTGGCAACGAAGAGTATCAGCACCATAGAAGCGACAGCCTGAGCCGTTCAGTGAGAGACACGATTTCAGATCCTTTAGTGTCTCTAGTGTCTTGCATGCTACATGCACAAGCGATAGTTGTTGGCAGTGGAAGAATGTCGTCCAAAAACACGTCGCGTTGCATTATCGCCGGAGGGAAGTCCCAGATTTTCCCACTCGTCAAACAACTGTGGCCTCCACAAGGTACAGTCAAGCGGATCACATGAAGGGTATTTGACGAACCTCTTTTCGTTGCAGAAGGGTTTTCTCTGTTTTTTTTTTTATTTTTTCAGTGTGTTTTCTTTTAATGGTGGAGACCGCACTGCGTTACATGGTTTTTACGATTCTTATATCATCTAAGGGTGCCTCACCCGAGATGTGGTTGCACAAACCGCCCACGCTCGCGCTCATGCGGGTCGATGGGCGGTTGTTTGAAACCTTTTCAATCCGAGTGTGCTTGGCCAGAGCCCACTGCGTCGCGGCCCCCCGAACTACATACTATAGTAGGCAGATAAAATATCCCTTAATTATTTATCTGTACGTATTGGCAGCCTGTTTGTTCTTTGTGTGGGAACCGCCATCTGAATTTTTGCCCTAATTTTTAAGAGTGGGGCATGTCATTCTTGCCATATCTTTCTCGGTCAGTGCAGAAGTTGGCCTTTTGCATGTCTTGGCCTTGGGTACCACTGCAAGCCGTGAAAACCAGATTTGCAGATGTGTGAGTTTCTAGCAATTGGAGGAAGGACTGGTTGCTTTCGGCATGATCGCGTTTTTCCTGTAGATGCAGATGGAGGCCTCAAGAATCGATATAGGAATTGACTGGACAATGGAATATAGTAGAATTCTCTGGTGTCTGGCTTGGAGTTGAAGGGACTTTTTAAAATGCCGTGGATGGACCTCCGGCGCCGGAATGCCGGGATCTTGTGTTGGATCCTTCGTGCTGGGATCCAATGGGTGTGTGAAGACCCGTGGGGATGGTGCTGGATGTGGGCCATACACACCACAGCCCCGGCCGACTGTGGCCGTCCGGGGCTAAGACCCTCTCAGATGGAGCAAGCTGTGAGCTGAAAGCGGGCTGAGCGCTGCAAGCTCGGTTCGCCGTGTTCGAAGGGGGCATTGCTACTAGTAACAAGGGCATTACTACTTGTAGCAAGGAGCTACCTTGTAACAAGTGTCTTGTGAAGAATCAGAGTCCTTCTGTTTTGCAAGGTCAACAGCTCTGTAGTTCCAAGGGGCAGTGCTTGTCAACAGAGCAGTTAGTAGCTGAATGAATCTGAATGATGTTGAATGTTGAAGCTGAATGAATCTGGATTGATGCCCCACCCCAAAAGATGTTCCAAACTAGGCAGGACGTGAAAAACCATCGCCATCTCAGATCCTACCCGTTGACGACCGGTGAGGCAGGCCTTTCTCGCACGGGATGGGAGGATCAGCAGCCCGGTGGAACCAGGTCGATGAACGAAGGGTTTGAAAACGGTTGGTAGACCAAGTGGTATGCTTTTGTGTCACTATATGTAGTTGATGGAAAGCATGTATAGAGCATAGCATTCCTTGACGTCTTCTCATGCATCATGTGTCACTCATCATTTTGCTTACGCGACTTGGTATTTGACTCAAGCACTGCGGAAAAAGGCGTTTGCGCGTGGTGCTTGCCGTTGCTACTAAACTACCAACTTTGGCTGTGGTTGGTGAGTTTAACTGGTTAACAGCCTCAGCTATTGCATTTTCATATTCGTCATAGGATAGCCTTGAGCCAGCTTTCCTGTGGCAACCCCGCCACTGCTTGTGAGTCTCAATACCTGGATCCAACATCGAGTTGAAAGGGTCCTTCTTGGGATAAGCACGTAGTGTGATTTCGGCATCCATTCGTTCGTCAGGCTGCCGTCAACAGAAAGCCGAGTTTCAGTTCCAAGGACTGCATTTCGGGCCGTGGGGCGTTGCTTCTTCAGCAACACCACTTCGTAGGATAGGATCCGAGTTAAATCCATATTGGAAGAGACTAGTTTGATCGCATCGTAAGATAGCCTTCACTAGCTCAAGGTCAAAGATCAACTAAAGTGCAGAACTCATAGAGTAAAGAGCTTAATTGGTGCATTTTGCCGATCCCTGGTGCTACACCCAAAGGTTTGCATTGGTGTGATCTTAAGCTCATTCATTGAAAGAAGCAAGCCGTATTCGTTGCATTGGATCAAAGGAGTTAGTTACTCTTGTTTCACTGCACGCCACCTCGTTCGCTGTTCGGCGTTGAATGCGAGCTCGCTCTCGATCCCCTGCTGTCGCCGTTGGCACA